GCACCCGCTCCCTCGGCCAAAAACCAGGAGTTCAGGTAGCTTGTGCCCAGGGCCCTGTGCCGTGCCACTGTCAGCACCAGGAGCATCGGTGTGGAGGGCTGACCATTAACTGCGTAGCCCCCATCCTGCTCCCAAGCACTCGCTCCGTGGTCAAGCACCACCCGCACGCTGCCCGCCGGGTGACGAGGATGGCATCCCAGGGCACCTGTGTGGCCCAGGCGTGGCTGAGCGGGCTCTGCGTGGGCAGCCATCGTGCAGCGCTGGGCCACACAGTCGGCAGGCCAGTTTCAGCCTCCATTTCAGCAGGGGGACTGGCTCCCCTCCAGAGCAGGCGCTGAGCCCTGACCCCCCGTCTCCGTCCTCCCTCCATCTCTGGCAGCAGCTGCCTGCAGCTGTGCTTGTCCAGGGGGAGGGAGCCTGACAGCCCCAGTGCCATCCGAGTCAGGCAGGGTGCTTTTGGGGACCCCAGCCTGGGAAAGCTGAGCATCCAACTGAAATTGAGGGCCTGTTGCAAAGCTCCTTGTGTCCTGGGGCTGTGGGCTGGTGCTGCTTTTCCTTGCTTTCAGTTTATGGTGCTGGGGCAGGGTGGGCACAGGCAAACAGCTGTAGGCAGAGCTCTTGGGGAGCGTGAAGCTGAAGGAAACTGAAGAGGTTGGGCTGATTTCTTCCCTCCCACCCCACAGGACAGCCAGGCTAAAAATAATCCTTCGCCTCATGCTGTGCATGAAAATAAAGGAGACTAAAAAAAGAGCGGTCCTGGATCATAGCAGTTAAGGATCTGCTTGGGTTAAAAACATAGATACGGTCTTGTGTGCCTTGCAGGGGAGAATATCACCAATGCCACCGGCTGAGAAATCCCATGGAAATATAAGGCATGTACCCTTCACAGTGGCAGAGACTAACCAGCCTGATGAGCTACTGGAAGACACAGTAGCCTCCCAAGTACTCAAAGGCTGTCCAGCCTGCCCCACCATATCCCTGTGCGCAGCCTAGGAGCTGGGTTTCAGCCAGCATGTGCCACCAGGATGGCCTGGATGGGAGTCTCAAGAGCACTTCAGCTAGGAGTCTGTGGGTTGGGAACAAACCAGGCACACAGGATGGGAGAAGAGTCTATGAACCCCCCCCCCCTCACCTTCTTTCAGCCATCCACAGTTCTTGGGGATAGGGGGCTAGAAGGGGCCCCAAGGATGGGGATGGGGATTCTCAGCAACTCCTTGACGGCCCTGCCTGTTCCTCCATGCAGGATGGTTCCCCCACCACCTGTCAGCAAGCCCCATGTGTGCCTCTCCACTGTCCTCATCATGACCAGCCTTGTCCTCATGGATGCCTACCTCGTGGAGCAGAGCCAGGGCTCCAGGAAGCTGGGCATCTGTGTCATGGTGGCAGTGGGTGATGTGTGCTTCCTACTGGTGCTCCGCTACGTCGCCATCTGGGTCGGGGCAGAGGTAAAGACAGCGAAGCGGGGCTATGCCATGATCCTCTGGTTCCTCTATGTCTTCGTTCTGGAGATCAAAGTTTACTTTGTATACCAGAACTATAAAGCTGATCGGAAAAGCCTGGATCTCATAGCCCGCAAAGCGCTGACCTTGCTGCTCTCCATCTGCATCCCAGCCCTCTACATGTTGCTGGTGGCCACAGAGCACATGGAGTACGTCAGGACATTCAAGAAGAAAGAAGATCTCCGCAATCGCCTCTTCTGGGTCATTGTGGACATGTTGGATGTGCTGGACATCCAGGCCAACCTTTGGGAGCCCCAGAAGAAGGGGCTACCACTCTGGGCTGAGGGCATCATGTTCTTCTACTGCTACATCTTGCTCCTGGTCCTCCCTTGCGTGTCCCTCTGTGAGATCAGCATGCAAGGGATCGGCATCATGCCACACCGGATGATGCTGTACCCCATGCTGAGCATGCTCACAGTCAACATCACCACCATCTTCATCCGAGGCAGCAACATGGTCTTCTTCAGGGATGCCCGGGTCTCCAGCATCTTCATGGGCAAGAACATGCTGGCCATTGGGCTGAAGGTCTGTACATTTGTGCAGTACCAGCGGCACCGGCACCACACGCCCCTGGGGCCGGACCTGGCCCCGCAGCACAGCGCCCAGGCCCAGCCCTCCCCAGGGCTGCACAAGTCCCGGGACCAGCCTGCCTGCCCTGAGGAGCTGGCCCAGGACAACACATGACAAGCCAGCAGGAGCTACAGCCTGGGCACTGCCACACCTGGCTGTACCTGCGAACCCGAGGTGGGCCTCTGGGCTCCCTGCCTGGACAGAGGGCAATGACCCTGCTCCCTCCCTCCCTGGGTGAAGCTGCTCCGATCCCCAAGGGTCACACGTCGAGGGCCCCCTGTAGTAGCCTCCATAAGGTTGCAGAGCGGTTTGGGACCTCCGCACCCCACCGAGGAGCGAGACGGGCGGCGGAGCAGAGGCAGGTTTGCCTGCTGCACGCCGTGTCCGGCTGGGGCCGGGCAGCCCTCCCCTGCGCCGGGCTCCCCCATCAGTACCCCCCACGCAGCGCT